AATCAAATTAGGAAAATTGGGATATCCATCACCTCAAACATTTATTCTTTCTTTATGTTGGGAACATTTGAATTATTCTCTTCTAGCTATTTAAAAATATACAATAAATTATTGTTAAATATAGTCACCCTACTGAACTATCAAATACTGATCTTATTCCTTCTAACAGTATTTTTATATCCATCAATCAACATCTCGTCATCCTCACTTCTACATGGTTCCCAGTGTCTGCTAACCACCAATCTATTCTCTATTTCCATGAAATCCACATTTTTAGCTCCCATATATGAGTGAGAACATGTGATATTTGTCTTTCTGTGCCTGGATTATTTTACTTAAGACAAAGATCTTCAGTTCCATCCATGTTGCTGCAAATGCCAGGATTTCATTCTTTTTATGGCTGGATACTATTCGATCATGAAAATATATCACACTTCCTTTATCTATTCGTTTGTTGATGCACACAGGTTGATTCTACATTTTGGCTATTGTGAATAGTGCTGCAATAAACACAGGAGTGCAGATATGGAAATTGGCCCAACTTCCCCATGGAACTAGTGGTTACAATTTTTTTAATTAACATGGAAGTTGATCCTCCCAGGCTTAAAGCCTGAAATTTAAATTTATCTTATCTGAGTTCCTTTCTCAGGAAACCAACTCTCAGGCCTACAGTATCAAGAAACTGAATCTCACCAGATCACACTGTCCAGACAGTGAGATGCCAGACACCTCCTGTTTATCAACTCCTCTCTCTCACACATCCTTAATTCCTGTTTTCTTCATTCCTGTCCCACTATGTAAGCCCCTGACTTCAGTGGGACTGGGAGCTGGATTTAACACAATTTTTCATTCTCCTCATCTGATATCACCCAAATAAAGGCTTCTTTCCCTGGCAATACTTGTCTCAGTGATTGACTTTCTGTAGGGCAAGCAGCAGGACCTCAACCAAACCCCTGGTACTGTGGTAACAATATCTCCTTTATATATTAATTTCCTTTATTTTAAATATATACCCAATAGTAGGACTGCTAGGTCATATGGTAGTTCTATTTTTAGTTTTGTGAGAAATCACCCTACTGTTTTACATAATGACTGTACTAATATACATTTCTAACAACAGCGTACCAGGGTTCCCCTTTTTTCTGCAGTGTCACTGGCATCCATAATTTTTTTCTTTTTGATAAAAGCCTTTTTAAATGGGGTGAGATAATATCTAGTTGTGGTTTTTATTTGCACTTCCCTGATATTTAGTGATGTTGACCATTTTTTATATGCCTGTTTCATTTGCATGTTTTCTTTTAAAAATGTTTATACACTAGTGCATGCCTATAATTCTGGCTATTCGGAAGGCTGAGGTGGAAGGATAGCCGGAACCCAGCAGGTGAGGCTGTGGTGGCCAGGAGCGGCCACTGCACTCCAGTCTGAGCGACAGTGAGACTCGGACTCAAAAAAAAAAAAAAATGTTTATACACAGCTTTGCCTATTTTTAAAGCAGATTGTTTCATTTTTTGCTATTAAGTTTCATAAGGGAAAACAAAGGGCATAAGCTAGAGCAACAATATAAAATGTCATATATAAGACATATGAAGATTGAAAATAATCAATTGAGTCAGACTCGGTGGCTCAGCCTGTAATCTCGCGCCTTGGGAGGCTGAGGTGAGTGGATTGCCTGAGCCCGTGGGTTCGAGACCCACCTGGGCAGGTGAGACCTCATCTCTACAATAAATCAAAAATCAGCCGGGTGTGGTAGCGCGCGCCTGTAGTTCCGGCTACTTGGAAGGCTGAGGCGGGAGGATCGCCGGAGCCCAGCGGGTCGAGGTTGCGGTGGCCGGGAGTGGCCACTGCACTCCAGTTTGTGCGACAGAGGGAGACTCCAACTCAAAAAAAAAGAAAAAAAAAGAAAATAGTCAATTGAGGTTATTATTAAAAAGTCAAAAAAAACCCCAAAACAGATGTTGATGAGGATGAAAATAAAACAGAATGCTTATACACTGTTTGTAAGATGTAAATTAGTATAACCTCCATGGAAAACAGTATGGAGATTTATCAAAGAGTTAAAAATAGAACTACCATTCAATCCAGCTATCTCATTACCCTACCGGGTTTCTACCCAAAGGATAACATATCATTATATAAAAAATACCTGCACTTTTATGTTTATCACAGTACTAGTCACAATAGCAAAATCATGGAATCAACCTATGCTCATCAGCAGATGATTAGATAAAGAAAATTCCACATCACGGAATATTACTCAGTCATAAAAAGGAATGAAATCATGTCTTCTGCAGTAACATAGATGGAACTGAAGGCCATTATTCTAAGTAAAACAACTCAGAAACAGAAAGTCAAATATCACATATTCTCACTTATAAGTGAGAGCTAAACAATGAATACATATAAACATATAGAGTGAAATAATAAACACTGGAGACTCCAAAAGGTGGAAGGGTGGGAGGGGAGAGGGATTAAAATTTACATGATGGATACACAAAAAGTCCTGACTTCACCACTACACAATACATGCATGTAATAAAATTGCACATCTATGCCCTACCTAAATCTATACAAAATAATAAATTAAATGAAAGACTATATGTAAAATTTTTAAAAAAGAAGAAAAATGAGAAAATATTCCACTGACTTTGACAATTAGGAGATAATTTGTATCTTTTGACAAAGTAGTTTCAGTGGAGTTCTGAGGGTCAAATTCAGATTGCAGAGAATGGAGAGAAAAATGGCAAGCGAAGAAGTGGAGACAGTAAATATACACTCTCCTTTTGAAACTGAGTATGAACAAAAGGAGAAATTGGTACAGCCATTATGGAAAACAGTAGCCAGAGGTAGAAGTGGGAGTGTGGGAAAATGCTTTTTATTATTTTTTAATAGAAATAATTAAGGTGAATAGCCAGGAATGAGAGAATGGTTAATATCTATAATGTTTATTAGGGCCTTCAAAGCTGCCCCCTTGACTTCCTCTACCAAAGCCACCAGTACCACTACTGACAGGACAATAAGTGTTGCACCTTTATACTTGTTACCTGAAAGAAATGGTTTAATTGTTAATGTATGTAGACTTAAACACTTTTGTTTGGTAAAATTTGAGGTATTTGTATTTTTCTTTATTCATAAGCTTTGTAGATTAGAATAGTGATGATGCTCATCATTTTGAATGTTAAAACGTGTTTGTGACTTTTGCTAAATATGAGTATTTCATAGTACTGTAAAATCTATGTAGTTAATCTCAATAAAGAAATCATTTTGGATAATTCAAAAATGTTATTAGTGCTCTCTTACAGTTATTAAGCAAGGCTGTAACAGTAATGCTTTGGTTGCTTTAACTAAACCTAGTCATTTAAATATGAAAATGATTTTGTTTTTTAGTTTGTGTGAATAGACCTGAAGATAGAAGCATAGTGAAAACTAATGTCAATAAGGGGTAGATAGGGTAGTATATTTGGGGGTGGGTGGGTGAGGATGTTTAATTTATATAAACCATTGATGTTCTGTGAAATATGAATTGCTGCCTACATTTAATAGATTCTGAATATTCACATATTCTGAGCTGGATTATTAAGGATATCTTTGTCCTGTGCTGATTTTTCCAAATAAATCTTTTGAATCTTAAAAAAAGGAAATAATTAAGATGGAAAAAACTTAGGCATATATATAGGATAAAGGAAACAAACCCATAGAAAGGGAGTAGTATGAGCTCCAGTAGTACAAAGTAAAGATGTAGCAGCAAAATGAAAGAAAGGCCATATGAAAAGCTCACCAAAAGGCAGGTGCTTCCTTCCTTCTGCTTATGTCACTCCACTTACCTGGAATGCTTTATACTTCTGATAGTTTCGTTTTCAAATTATACTTATCCTTTAGCTTAAATTTCACCTCCTCTGTAAAGTCTTATACTATCAATCCCTTCTAAAGTGTTCTCTTTCTCTAACTCTAATAGCAGTTTCGGTCTGAACAATCCATTTGGCAACCACACACTACCCTGTCAAACTTCCTTTATTGCTTTCTTTCTTTTCTTTCTTTTTTTTTTTGAAAGCACACACGTTTACAGCTGCACTATTCACAATAGCAAAAACATGGAATCAACACCACTGCACATCAAAAGCAGATTGGATAAAGAAAATGTGGTACATGTGTACAATGGAGTATTATGCAGCCATAAAGAACAAAATCATGGAATTTGCCACAAACTAGATGGAGTTAGAGACCATCATACTTAGTGATCATTCACAGAAACAAAGAACTGAATACAGAATGTTCTCACTCATAAGTGGGACCTGAACATTAAGCACATTAGTACAAGGAAGGGATCAGGAGTCGATAGACATAGCCAGGGAGGGAGGAGAGGGAAGAGGTACGTAGCATCACAAAGGTACCTGGTCCTAAACCAGGGGAAGTGAGAGACAGTTGGAGGTCCAAACTTCACCTGCACGAAGCCTGCTTATGTAACTAACCCTGACTTATACCCCTCATATCTATAATAAAAAACATATATATTTTGCTAATGAGTCATATGTGTGTCTTTCCCCCGTTAGACTATACTCAAGGGCAGGGTTTCTATCTTAGTGTTTGCCACAACCTCCAGAGTGCCGACCATGGCTGGCAGTAGGGTCTCTTTAAGTCTTCAATAATATGTAGTTGTGGAGTAGTAGTCTATTATAAAGGAGGAGACAGAAAAATGCTGGGTTAGGTAAAGGCCCTTGATGTGAAGTAAGTCATTTAGTCCTGTCAATAACAAATATGGAAACTGAATCTTGCAGAGGTAAATTAAATTCATCCAAGATGATATGGTTAGTACGTGGCAGTGCCAGGATTTAAACCAAAGGCTCTCTCTCCTATTCTGCTTTAGTTGTCTGCAAAATTTTGTTCATGTGGAACACCTCTTTCCTTGATGATATTGATAGAGGCACGATCTATTGAGTCCTTATTACCAAACAAGTAGTTTCAGTGGCCTCTACAGCTTATGGTGAAATCTCCCTTTACCTTACCTCCTGACAATCAGCTTGAGGATCCGGAAGGAGCCTTTGATGAGAATGAGGGCCTCTTGGCGGGAGCCATATAGTGGAGTGCCATTGATATTCACCAGCTCATCACCAGTCCTCATCTTCTGGGACAAGGCTGCCTTGCCTCCATCTTCAATCTGTGTAGGGGAGATCAAAACAGAAAGCAAGTGCTGAGGTAAATTTCTCCCCAAAATTCGACTTCCTGGTTTCTCCCAAACCAGAGTCACAGGCAGTACTAAGGGATGGCTTCAAGCACCTTCCAGGAGTAGCTCGGGAAATCACAAGTCAGTATTTAGTGAAGGAAAGGCTTGGGCAAGACCTTGAGAAAGAAGGCAGCACAGAAATAATGTCATTCTTGTCTAGAGGAATGAACAGTCCATTTGGGGATACTGGCACATATAAATAAGAAAATGATGGTTGGGGCCGGGCTTGGTGGCTCAACCTGTAATCCCAGCACTTTGGGAGGCCAAGGCGAGTGGGTTGCCTGAGCTCGTGGGCTCGAGACCAGCCTGGGGAACTTGGCGAGATCTCGTCTCTACAATAAATTAAAAAAAAAAAAAAAATCCGGGAGTGGCAGTGCTTGCCTGTAGTTCTGGCTACTTGAAAGGCTGAGGCAGAAGGATCTCGAGATCCCAGCAGTTTGAGGCTGCGGTGACCGAGAGGCATGCCACCGTCCTCCAGCCAGTTGGCAGGAAAGGTAATGAAACTGGTGACGGAGTGAGATTCCAACTCAAAAAAAAAAAAAAAAAAAAGAAAGAAAATGTTGGTTGGAAGGAACCCCCCCCCCCCCCCCCAGTGTGTCATCTAAAGTAGCATCATGGCATAGCAAAATGTGCATACAAAATAGAGCCAGAAGAGGTAGGTTACAGCAAAATGACCTTTGGCAAGTTCTTTCCTATCTTTGCGCAGGCTTTAAAGTCTGACAAACTTGAGTTTGAATCCTGGCTCTGCTTCCTAGCTATGTGACCCTGAGCAAGTTACCTAATATCTCTGTGTTTCAATAATTTTCTGTGTGAAATGTAGATAACAAGAATAGCTACCTCACAAGGCTGTTAGTATATGAAATGTCTGGGAGCAGTAAGTCTTCCAGAAACAAGGGCTCTCATTATCATAACAAAAGGCTTTACCCCAGAGACCTTGAAGGTGGCTTCCAGTTCAACATTCTGTGAGTAGAATGGCAAATTCAAAAAATACAAAGTAGGTACATACAAAGTAGCCACTCATTTATCCATGTCTTTTCAGCAAGTGCTTATTAGCACAGTGTTTTCAGTGTCTGGCACACAGTGAACATTCAGCAAAAGCTGGAAATACGGGCGTTTACTGTTTCAACACAGCCTATAGAATTTCCATTGATCAGGTCAATCTGAGAAAGAAGATTGTCAGGCTTAGGGGCAGTAAAAGCAAAGACAAAAATAGTAATCACTGGGGTAGGCAACAGCAAAGCAAAGCAGAATGCTCTCGGGGTCCTGCTTATGGTTAATTTTATATGCACCATTCCTTTTACCACAAAGGTGAATTCTACCTATTGGAACATCAATTCTGTCTATGGTGACAAGAGCCATCTCATTCATCCATTAATCACTCAAGTATTTAGTGAATCTCTGTTGTGTACAGGACAACATGCTAAGTGTCAGAGACATAGAAATGAAAAAAGCTCATAGCTCCCAGCCTCAGGGGCAAATTTTTCTAAAGTTTGTACGTCTACAAAGATGGTCAGGTAAAAAAGGGTCCAACCCACTGATACAATCAAGAGTCATTTATTTGTTTGTTTGTTTTCCAGGGGCAGGAAAGGTAATGAAACTGGCCCAACTTCCCCAAAGAACTAATGGTTACAATTTATTTTTGAATGAACATAGTACTTGACCCTCCTGGTATTAAAGCTTGAAACGTAAATTTTTCTTATCTGAGTTTCTTTCTCAGGAAACCAACCCTCAGGCCAACAGTATCAAGAAACTGAAACTCACCAAATCCTGCATCCAGTCAATGAGATGCCAGACCCCAATTCCTGTTTTCCGACTTCTCTTCCTTACTCCTTCCCAATTCTTGTTTTCTATATTTCTGCTCCATTATATAAACCCCTGACTTCAGTAGGACAGAGAAATTGATTTGAGACAATCTCCCATTCTCCTTTGCTGATATCACCCAAATACAAAGCCTTCTTCCCTGGCAATACTTGTTGTCTCAGTGGTTGGTTTTTCATGCAGTAAACAACAGAACCCTAACTGAACCCCTGGAATTGGGTAACTGCTTTTGGTTCCCTGACTGGGAAAGTATTGCTCATGGTTCAACTGCTGTGGGGCAGGAGAGTTTCAGGAACTCTCCTAGCAGCTGCCCAACTCTTTTTGGTCAAAGGTGGATTTCACTCTCTCACTCTCTAGCCCTTCTGTTACTGGCATTCATAATTTGACATCTGCAACCAACATCCAGGTTTTCATGAGTAGTTGTCAACAGGATCTCCTTCTCTCGATTTGCAGAACATCAAGGGAGTTTCTATTTGAAGGTTGAACGAGTCCAACCAATTGAGAGGAAAACATCACACTGTTTCAGTTTGGACACTCTTTGGGGTCTTGTTAGTAATTGTGCATGTTTCTAGACAAGTAAATATCTTTTGTGGGTACAAGTAAATATCTTTTGTGGGTACCAGACAGTGAGATCTACGCCAATCAATTTGGGGAACTCCAACAGAGTTTCCATTTGAAGATTCAACAAGTCCAACCGACTGAGAGAAGGAAGCACCCTGTTTTAGTTTGGACATTCCTAGGGCTTGTTGGTCACTATTGCAGTAGATCATATTTTGATAACTGTTTGTTCACATGTGTGTGTCAATATAGTCATGGGAAATTAGAATTAGATCCCAGAATGCAGCCTGCTCAGATGCATTCTTTAGAATTGGTCTGAATATAGCTATGAGCCAATGGAACAAAGGAAAATGATAGTCTTTGTACTGCTGCTTAGCCTCAGAAATCTCTGGAGTCTGGGGAGGTTGGAGTCATTTAGCTGTTGAATGGGAAAGTAGGATGGAGTTCTGTGTATCCAGGCTTTTATGCTGCTGTTTTAAGCAGGGTTGAGCCTGGTTAGTATGTGATGTTTTTCTGCAGTGCTGTTTGGCCCCAGTGTTATTGAGAATCTGGGGAAGTCTGGCTTTTAAAACATCAAACTACCATGGAAACTGCTTTACCCAAAATTTTGGTTCACAGCCTTCATTGGATTAACATATTTGTAAGCCTGTGAGTTTTATTGGTATCTCGTGCCTAGAGTTATCTTTATTTATGTGGTAACATGTTTAGGTGTGTTTATGTGTATGTACATTTATGCTGTGTCTATAGGGTATCAAATTGGCTTATAAACAAAAGAGTGTTCATAAATTAAGTAAATAAGTCCAAGTGGGCATCCCCCTTGGGTCCCCTCCCGCTCTGGGAGCTTTTCTGTCCTCTCAATAAATCCTGCTTTCTCAAAAAATAAAAAAATAAGTTCAAGCATTCTTCAAGTTCACATGACTTAAGTAAATCTTTAATAAATAAGCTGGCTTTATGAATATTGCTATAATTTAAAAAAAAGAAATGTCTTCACTATTGTCAGTGTACATTTTTGTCTGAGTTTCATATTTGTCTCTGCTAGATATTTTAAGGTGTCAATGTTTGGCAGAAAAGGTTATAAGACTGTAAACCCAACCTAGAACAAATGGTCTTTGCGTGTGTGCTTTTTTGTGTGAGACTAGTTTAATGTTGTTAGTTTAATAAAAAAAGCTGCATCTTCTTAGTTATTAGTAAAAATACCCATGTACTTTAATTTTCTTGCTTGGGTGAACTCCTAACACGCACAGTTTATGAAAATGGTTAACAACAAAATCATGACTAGCTTTGTCTAACATCTCAGTTCTCATAAGTAATCTAGATAAACAGATAAAAAGGAATGAAATATAAATAAGGCAAATGCAATAGGTAAACCTATGTAATTTAAAATCTTGAAATTATTTTGAATTCTCATTAGATATCTGGGTCATATCCAATTAAGACAGGATTATGATACAAGGAAACAAAAAATTGTTGCATTAAAATTATGACAATTCTCACCTATAAAATGCTCTTTACTATAAGGCTGCAATAATCAAAACAGCTTGGTACTGGTACATGAACAGGCAATAGATCAATGGAAAAGGATAGAGATTCCAGAAACAAAACCTCAGTTTCTCAACCAACTCATTTTCAACAAAGCATCCACCAACAACCACTGAGGAGAGGAGAACCTATTCAGTAAATGATGCTGGGAAAACTGGCTGACCACATGCAAAAGATTGAAACAAGACCCCTACCTATCTCCATACACAAAAACCAGCTCTAAGTGGATCAAAGACCTAAATGTAAAACCTCAAACTATATGAATCTTAGAAAATGCAGGAGACACCTTTACGGAAATTGGAATAGGCAACCAGTTCCTGATCAAAACCCCAGATGCCCATGCCATAAAAGATAAGATAGACAAGTTAGACAAGTGGGACCTCATCAAAGTAAGAAGTTTCTGCAAAGCAAAATAAACCATCAAGAGAGTGGGGAGACAGCCCACAGAATGGGAAAAAAATATTTGCTAACTGCATATCTGACAAAGGCCTAACATTCAGGATTTACAAGGAACTCAAATGTGCTGAAAGGAAAAAAACAAACAGTCCTATTAAAAAGTGGAAAAAATATATGAATAGATACGTCTCAAAAGAATACATATAAGGCCGGGCTAGGTGACTCAGCCTGTAATCCTGCACTTTGGGAGGCTGAGGTGAGTGGATTGCCTGAGCCCGAGTGTTCGAGACCTGCCTGGGCAGCGAGACCTCATCTCTACGATAAATCAAAAAAATAGCCGGGCGTGGTAGCGCGCGCCTGTAGTTCCGGCTCCTTGGAAGGCTGAGGCAGAAGGATCGCTGGAGCCCAGCAGGTCGAGGCTGCGGTGGCTGGGAGCAGCCACTGTACTCCAGTCTGGGTGACAGAGTGAAACTCCAACTCCAAAAAAAAAAAGAAATTATCTAAAGGTTGATTCAAATTATGAACTTGGAAGGGTTATTTGTGAAACAAGGGAAAAAAAGAACCGGTAAGTAAGAGATAGAGATGTGAAAAAAAGTTATAAATATGAAGATGTGTTTTTGGTA